CTTTAGTTTCCTGAGCAAAACATAAGATGCTATTAATGACAGTAGACTCCATACGAGATGATAAAGAACTTTGTTGTACAAGATGAATAATGAGAAGAAGGAAGACTGCAACAAAGTTTGATCTTGTAAAAGATGTTGCAGCAGAATTAGAAGAATGAAAGAACATAAGAAGATGAAGCAGCAGACTCTACCAGTGGAAAGAAGCGAAAAGGAATGCAAAGGTTGTCGTTCTTGAAGGAGATGTCATCGCAGAGCAGAAAGATATCATCGCAGAGCAGAATGCATGAGATACGCAGAGCAGAAATATATGCGTTTGCACTTCTACGAACGTATAGAAGGGTTTTAAGTGGTTAATATCTTATTTTTAAAAGACAAATTTACCCTTCTACCCCAGCACTAAGTAAATAATACGCAGATAATAATATGCAGATACTTCCATTCGATCAATTGCGACGCTATAGCGTCCGCCTTCACCGGAATAGCGCGCCCGCTAATGCTTCCGCTATAGGCGCTACACCCAAACGCGACGCTAGAGGTACTCTTGTAGCGCCAACCTTGACCTCCGCTCCGCAATACCGCTATAGCGCGCAATAGCGCCGCTATTAACATCATTGGTCCGACGCCTTCCTCACCAAAAACAAACTACTTAATACCTGAACTAGCCTTTAAGGTTTATTTTTTACTTATTTACTGAATATAGAAATGACATGGCGGAAAAGGAAGTTACTGGACATGGATTTCTGCCTATGTTGTACTCATTTTCTTTCTATCTTTGTGTGCAGATCTTATGCAATTTGTGCTATTATAAGTTTATTTGAGCTTGAGTGGTTGATTGTCAGGTTAGGTATGCTCCTTTATTTCAATTTACCTTTATTTCATGTATTAAGTTTTGATTTGATAAGGACAGTTTGTATGTTTGGTACTCAAGAAATATATCAATCACTAAAATAATTGTTCTCTTTCACACTGTGATATTATCATTCTACCCTTGCAGTAATTATTTAACAGTGGAATGAAATAATTATTTAGCACAGAGGCGATGGTAGCTTGAGCATAGATAGATCATAGATAAAATCAAAATCATTTAACATATTTTCTGCCATTATTTCCAGGCCCTTAAAACTTCATACTTGTGGTGAATAATGAAAAATATTTTCTCTTTGGGTTGTGGTGATGATTAAATAATCTTAAAGAAAGCGATATTAGAAAAGGCATATCTTTAAGAAAAGAGACCACTTTAAAAAAACATGCATGTCTTGTATAGCTTTTGAGTAGAAAATATATAATACCCTGTAGCCTTTTCAACTCACTCAAACTCATGTTTTTGTTTTCAAAGCTAAGCTCAACTTTTTTGTCAATGGCGTTATAGTGTGACTACTTAATTTATATTCAAGAGTATGAACCATCAGTTAGATCATGCTCCTAGATGGCATATCAAAAGCAAGAACTTTGAGAGGGCCCTTACTGCTGGTGGTTAGCATGTCACTGAAAGTGGCAGGATATGAAAATTTTATAAGGAGTCTGAACAAGCCGTTCTTTTCACAATTAATGAAACTAACCCCGCGTATGTACTTCTTTTTGTCTCAATTTTTTTCCATCTTCACGTCTATTTATTGCACAATTCTGATTATTTTATGTCACACCTTTATTGTTTCTTTATTCCGGAGTATCATTTATAAAAAGCATAAGAGTTATTGCTCAAATACACGGTTTACTGTGGGAATGAAGAAATGAAACTAAAATATTTTTTTCTTTTGATTTTAAAACACGGTTGTCTATTATGAGAAGAGTTTTAAACTAAATGTGTATATACATTGTAGTAGTTTTCAAATTAGAACCTTAAACAAAAGCACCTAAAAAGAGATATTTTTTTCATCATTTGGTAAGGAGAAACAGATGGGCATATGACTAATGAAAAGAATATGAAAATACAAGATTTAGACTACAAGACATTGTAGTTCTTAATATTTATTTGTATACTTATTTTGAGGTTTTGTAAAAATAGGAATAATATATTTAATATTTTATTTGTGCTCTACTGCTTATGTGTCGTTTATTATTAGTGAATAACTTGAGTGATAGGTGGGTTATTGAGAAGACCTGCAAGCCAATGGTTTCAACAACTATTTTTATATTTCTGGCTGGGTGCAGGCGGACACTGCTTGTTCAAGGGTGGGAAGGGCGAGAAGGGCCAGATGAAGAAGATGAATGGAGGTATTTTCATGACTATGGTGCATTATTGAGTGCTGATTATCAGAAAGCTTCCAGGTACACTACAGATTATGGATACATGATACCCGCCACTGCCATATAAGGTTAGGCATAGGTTGTAATTCATTAGTATGCATATTTAGCTACTATTCTAATCTGATTCAAATGCTATTTTCGGTAGATGATGATTTGATTGATTCAAGAGCATATGTAGACTATATTGATAAGAAAATTCAGATTTTTGTGAATAAGCCTAACTAAGATATCATATGAGATTTGAGTACTGCCAGTATTAACTGAATTTAATTTGTAAGGCATACTTAAATTTCTTTTATACGTACTAGGTGTTTGTAAATATGCCTAAATGATATTTTTAGGTAGATGGCACATTTAGCTGTTGAAATTTCAATCCTTGAAAGTGTAGTTGTATGTTTACCAAAATTAGACTGCAGTACAAAAAATAACTAATTTTATATGTAGAATTACTAAAATATTAGGTGTTTTCGGATATTTCGGCCTTTCTCTACATTTTTTGAATGTCCAGTTGTGCAATTTTTTTCCTGCATTTCATATAGATGTTTAATTTCCACAAATTTTAGCTTTTTTTTCTTCCATTTTATTGGCTGATTATTCTTCATATGTGGGCAGCTTATATGCATTATAGGCATATTTTTCTTCATCTTTTCATAGCAGTTTTTTGATGCACATTTCATCATGTTCTTTCTCAATTTCATTGTCAATCCTTATCTTCATATTTAGACAACTTATTCGTACACGTTAGGAAGTTTTTTCAGCAAAATTTCAGCAAAGTTCAAAATGTTATGGCTGAAGATTTGTTCTACTTTACATTGAAACCGTTTTCATTCATTCTTTAGCAGATAAGGCAAATTTTTATGCATCTAGGGAGATTTTTTCTCAAAACAAAAACAGCAGGTCATTGCTACGGATTCTTTCTACAAACATACTACTGCGGGTGACCCTTCCACAAGTGAATAAATGGAAGATATCGGATAAAGTGTGGTTCCAAATAACATGAATATATTTTTAGAGTTTCATTGTTAATGTCATTTTCACTTCAACTACAACATGTATGTTAGAGTTTATTCTTTGCAGGCTAATTATAATATCTCTAAAGCTACTGGCAGCAAAATAACTATGATTTGTTATGAGATTTGATTGCTGCCAGTATGAACTTGCTTGTAAGAATTACCTAAACTTATTTGATGCATACTAGGTGTTTGTAAATATGTCTAAATAAGATATTTAGATAGATAGGTTTATGTGAATATTTGAATGATTATATGGAGTAGTTATTTTTTTTTAGGTAGATGGGCATTTTATGTGAATTTATATGTTAGTATTGTCTTATAATGCCAGTCATTTGGTGATTAAAAAGAAAAAACGATAAAACAAAGAAAGTTGTTTTCAATGTGAGTGTGTATCAGTGTATGTATATTTGAGTGCGAGTAAGTTAGTGCGCATGTTTTCTTTTAATTATTAGATATTAATGAGTTAGCGTTAAATTGTTTTGATGTAGTGGGCTTAACCCGGAGCCCAAAAATATGATTTGATCTTGTAGTCATTAAGCGCGGTTATTTTGAGACATAATTGAATACATGACTTGTTCTCTCAATCAATAGCCAACTTGTTTGCTTAGCTCTAATTTGTGACCCCTGATTCAGATGTTTATCCAACCCCTTTTCTTCAAGAAACCATGATGACTTGTTTAGACGTGTGTTAATAAGTGAGATCACTCACAGGCAAGATGATTTAGAAATAACCTTAAATTGGTTACTTTACTCAATCCTTTTTCAACACACCAAGTCAACAACCTCTTAAACAAAGTCACAAAGACCACTTAATATAAACAGGGATTAATGGAAAATTAAGTAAACAGTCCAGGTCCATCTTAAATGACAGCCATGTTTGAATGACATGATTGTACGTTGCTAAAAGACCTTACTTTGTACTTTTTTGTAGATAGGGTAGATGTCCCTTGATCAGAATTCAGGAGACCATACTTCCTCAAATGGGTTGGTTGAGGAAAATATTTGCACGCAACAGACACAAAACTTGACAAGCTCAAAGTGGTTGGACTTAACAAATCGCAGATGGACAAAAACTAACTATAATTCATCTGTTTCATTGGTTAGTATTAACAATTTTCATTACTACACACTTGATTATAGGGAGACAATCTTTTTATCTATTTTAGCTTTTCATGTTCTTAAGTGTTTTATAGAGTACTCTTTTTAGCTTCAATATTTAATTCTCAAAAATATATGTGGTATATGTGATTTTATGAAAGGTTAAAGATATTCTTATATTCATTCTCATAGATTTTTAGATTTCTCCTGGTGCAGGATAGAAGTCAACGTGAAAGTGGCAGTCAATTTTTATGTCTTGTAATGAAAAGATGATTTACTAATGTTTATGTGTTCTTGGAGTGAAGCCTCTAATTGATTATTTCTGTTTTCTAAAATCTATTTGTTTGTCATTTGCAGCTAGCTTCCATCTTTAGACATCCATTGCAATTTACTTTATTTGAAGACGGCGATGGCGCAATCTAAAGTCTAATGTCTCATGTATTTTTTGGTTTGCTACTATAGTTTGGTGAGAATGTTATAAGAGTTTATTATGATATTAGAATATGTATATTGTTTTACGCTACATCCTATTAGAATTCAACGATTTTCACTTCATATTAATGTTATTATTATTATTATGTCAAACATTAAAAATAATGATATAAAAAAATACTATAGTATAAAATATACTTCTAATCGTTCCGGCCAGTTTATCATATGTCAACTATTAAATATATTGATATCAAATAAATACTAAAGTATCTAATATTACGTACTTATTTTCCATCAAAAGATGCATTGGGCATTTGGTCAATCGCGCATCGCGCGTCAAAATAACTAGTTTTATAATAAATTCTAAAATACTAATCAATCGGAATCTCCGGCATAGGTAGAGCCACCATCGGTTGTTGAGTCATCCATAAAATCTTGGGAGGGGGTGATGCTCATTTCTTGAGTTCTACGTGCGGCCTTCAACCAATCGTGGTAGCATATAAGCGTCTCAAGAGACTCCGCGCTCAATCTCGATCTAGATGACGTTAGGACGTTGCCGGCCGAACTAAATTCTTGTTCCACAACAATTGTTGAAATCAGCATTGATAGTACTTGCTTAGCCATCCGTGCTAAAATCGGGAACGTTCTTTCTTTTGACTTCCACCAGTCTAGAACGTCAAAGTCATCATTTTCTTCAAAATCAACTTCATATGTTAAATACAAAGTAATCTCATTCAATGCACTTTGTTCAGTGACGTGAGTTGTTTTTGTTTTTTTTCATAAGATTGCCAAATGCAGATCTAAAAATCGATTTTCCTTTAGATGAAGATGTTTGTGACGGGGGAGGGGGAGCGTTGCTATATTGTGCACGAAACTCATTAAATAAGGCATAAAATAAAGTACTAACCTCGTTGTATTCCGTTTTCGGATCTATGGTGTTATCGTCATACATTGGAAATTCACAAAAAAACGCAAGATAATAGAAGTTGAAACAATCTTCCAAATTAGCAAGTCTATAACGAGGATCGAGAATAAATGCAATACCATAAATATGTGAAATATGCGCATAATATTTTAAAAACTTTTCCTTCATATAATCACAAAATAATGAACGAAAACGGCATTCTCAAATTCTTTAAAAGTACCGGCAAGATTAACAGCTTCACGAATAAATTGGTTTGCGGTAGGTTTATAAACATGACTAAAAGTTTCAGTAGCATTAAAAAAAAATATCAAAGCATTACAATTTTTTTCGCAAGTGTCGATCTCAACCGCGTTTATAATATAGTTATCATGTTCTTTTAAAAAAGCAGGAAAATGTTCTTTATATCTAAGAATAACTTTAAGTAATTTATAAGTACTATTCCAACGAATACTCAAATCTTTAGGAAAAGCAACATATCTCACACCTCTTTCAGTCAAATAAGTTTGCCATTTTAATCTAAGTTGACCATTACCCCAAATACGTCTAATCCCCCCCTTGATTACCTCCATGGAATCTCCTAACGCTTTTAAACCGTCTTGCACACATAAATTTATAACATGGCATGCACACCGTTGATGAAAACATTTACCCATCAAAGTATTGGCACCACACAACTCACGCAATCTAGGTATAGCAGCAGTATTATTAGTAGCATTATCGAAACCAATAGCAAACACCTTATCAATCAAATTATACTCAATTAAAATACGCTCAATCAAAATATAAATATGTTCAGCGGTGTGACGATCATTAAATTCACGAAAAGCAAGAACACGTTTATGCATATTCCAATCCTCATCAATATAATGTGCAGTCAGACCCAAATAATATAAATGATGAAAATCATCCTCCCATATGTCAGAACAAATAGTAACACGCCCATCAAAGTTTGCAAAAAAATTTTGTAACCTTGCCTTTTCCGCATAATAAAGCCTTATTATTTCTTTATTAACAGTTTTGCGACTATAATTTCTAAATTGAGGATTTAAACTACCTTGTGCATAATCTCTTAAAGCAAGACTTTCAGAAAACAAATAAGGCAAATTTTCTTCACAAATTAAGTTAGCCATACCAGTCAAATTTTGTGCATCATTGTAGGAGAAATTACCAAAAGGTTGAGAATTCGCAAACCTCGATATTTGAGTTTGCTTCCCCGTTCCGCCGCCTAATTTTGCATACTCCACGGGGTGCTTTGCCTTAAGATGCCTTGCGGCGGATCCGTATCCGCCGGAGGTTCCCAAACTATAATTGTTGTTGCACCACTTGCAAGTTACGTGCCAATAGCCGGTTTGTGGGTCCTTCCATTTATCAAAATTATTTTTCATTAGTTCAGACTTACTTTTTTTTATTACCGGTGGCGGTTTGGGATGAGGCAAGCTCGTCGGCGTCGTGGCTGCCGGCACCCTCCTCTTCGGCCGTCTCCGGTTCCAATTCCTCCGCATCTTCATCCTCAAGCTCCTCTTCGTCAATGGTCGTCGGCATTTGTTGTTGTTGTAGAAAGCGGTTATTATGTCGGGCCAATTCTTGTTGGAGTTGTTCTTCGGACATCGCATCTCCATCTCGCCTTTGGTAACCCGTTTCAAAATCATCTCGGCTTTGAGATGAGAACCGGCAAGTTCTTTACCTTTGCGGGATTTCTTCCTCCCAATCTCGTTCCTTTGATTGCGTTGGAGGTTACCCAAATCAACCGAATATCTACCATCTTCCATCTAAAAAATGTAACAAATATTAATTGACAACAAATATAATAATGGATACAAAACTAATGCAACTAATTAAAACTATTTTAATTAATACTTCAAACTAATTTAGTGCAAAGTAGAATTAATGTGTGACTTTAAAATTAAAATTATAGCAACTTTTGAAGTACTTTAATTTAGTAAAAACTACTTAAATAAAATGTTAAGTACTTTAATTAAATGATTGAACTACTATTTCTTCCTACAAATATAAATTGAAAATAAGAAAATGTGACTTTAACTATAATGACAATTAACTAGTTTATTGAAGTAAAGTTGTTTTAACAATTAATGAGAATACTAATGAAGTAAATAACTAGTATAATGAAAAATGTAACAACAATGCTAATTAACTAATTAACTAGTATAATGACAAATGTAACAAGAATGCTAATAAACTAATTAACTAGTATAATGAAAAATGTAACAATAATGGTAATGAACTAATTAACTAGTATAATGAAAAATGTAACAAGAATGCTAATTAACTAATTAACTGGTATAATACTACTTATAGTAAGTAATATATAATATAATGTTTATAGTATATAATATATAAGTATACTACTATAAGATGAGTAATACACTTATATTTTATACTTTAATATATAAAGTGTTGGGATAATGGGCCGGGTCCAAGACTATTGGCCCGTTACGCCCAAGCTTTGGCCCGACCAAGCTCAGAACACAGCCCGGCTAGCGGATATTGGTCCGGGATTATTTAATTACTTATCGGGTTGGCCGGCCCATTAGCGTGAGTGTTAGTGGATAAATCGGGCCAAGCCCATGTAACACTTAATTGGTGGGCTATTGTGTATACCTATAAATAGGCCACCAACCCCTTGTATTCTACTAAGCTATTCTCACTATATTGAAATGCTGCCAAATTTTCTACCCGGGTTATTTTCTACCAACATTGGTGCTTTCATTGAGAGCCATCTCTCATATTTTTCGGTAGAAACGGAGAGAGATTTGGGCAAAAAATCAATGGAAAATTCGTCCCAATTCCAACAAAATTCAGCAAACTTGAATTAAGTTCTTAACAAAATAATTGAATGAAAAAGAAATTGGGAATTCAACCCCTTAGTGGATTTTGTTCTAAGGGTTGCCGTAAACTTGGGGATGAAAAAGAAATCTGGAACAAAAATCGGTCAATACCGATTTGGGATTTCAAATCTGATGGAGGAACCGAAGAATTTGATATCGTGGCCAGAGGCGTGCGTTTCCTTCGCAGCAGCGACGCTTGCAGGTCAATCATCCTCTTCGGACGCCGCTCGAAGCTCATTCCTCCAGATCCTAGACGTGAGGTCACCATCGAAGCCTTCGTCGTCCACGCCATCGACGTCATGCTTCGTCCGTTGCTTCACTGCTCTGTCTCCGTCTCAGCGCGGCCATCTCTACTAGGCGGGCCAGATCCTAAGGTCGTGGCCCCTCGTAAAGGTCAGAGCTCCTCTCCTCTGCCTGTTGGCAGCAGCGACGACCGAAGGAGGCACCCAACTTCGAGCCTGGGATCCATCTCCAAATACGTGACCGATCCATGGAAATCGGCGCTCAACATCAACCTCGTGTGGTCATCGCTCGTAGCTCGCTCGTCCACATACGTCGCAACATCGTAGATAGCAGGTCGCTCCACCACCCCATAGCTATGTCGCCGGTCTCAGCCTCTGAGCCTCAATCTCTTCTCTGTTAGCCGACGAGTTGGGACGGCAGGAGAAGTGTGATATTCAGGGGATCGGTCGCTATCTGGAGCTCCGCCTTTTCTCTGGCTCCGATGCTGGTGGGAGATGGTGACTGCCGCTGCTGGACTTCTCTTTCAGTAGGCCTTAATTTTGCCCTAGTCAAAATTCAACCAAAGGACAGAATCAAAGCAAATTAGCAATATCAAGACCGACAATTCGCGAGATCCAATTGGCGAGGCGGACGTGGGGCCACAGCCTGGAAGCTTGGTGGCACGGGCTCAACCCGGTGACGTGAACCTCCGGTCTTCATCGAGAGGTCCGTCTCTGCCGGGAGGTCCGGATTCACAACCTTGTCCTGGAGCGCATGTTCGGGGTCGGTACGCCTATGCGCTGAAGCTTGGTGGCACGGGCTCAACCCGGCGTCGTGAACCTCCGATCTCCATCGAGAGGCCCGTCTCTGCCGGGAGGTCCGGTTGCACAACCTTGTCCTGGGGCGCAAGCCCGGGGTCGGGACGCCCGTACGCCCGTATGCCCGGACTCCTGTACGCCCGGACTCCCGTATGCCCGGACTCCCGTACGCCCGGACTCCCGTATGCCAGGACTCCCGTACGCCCGGACTCCTGTATGCCCGGACTCCCGTATGACCGGACTCCTGTATGCCTGGACTCCCGTACGCCCGGACTCCCGTACGCCCGGACTCCCGTATGCCTGGACACCTGTACGCCCGGACTCCCGTATGCCTGGACTCCTGTACGCCCGGACTCCCGTACGCCAGGACTCCCGTATGCCCGGACACCCGTACGCCCGGACTCCCGTATGCCCGGACTCTCGTACGCCCGGAATCCCGTGCGCCCGGACTCCCCTACGTCCGGACTCCCGTACGCCCGGACTCCCGTACGCCCGGACTCCTGTATGCCCGGACTCCCGTACGCCCGGACTCCCGTATGCCCGGACTCCTGTACGCCCGGACTCTCGTATGCCCGGACTCCCGTACGCCCGGACTCCCGTATGCCAGGACTCCCGGCCCGGACTCCCGTATGCCCGGACTCCCGTATGACCGGACTCCCGTATGCCTGGACTCCCGTACGCCCGGACTCCTGTACGCCCGTACGCCCGTATGCCCGGACTCCCGTATGCCCGGACTCCTGTACGCTCGGACTCCCGTATGCCCGGACAACCGTATGCCCGGACTCCCGTACGCCCGGACTCCCGTACGCCAGGACTCCTGTATGCCCGGACACCCGTACGCCCGGACTCCCGTATGCCCGGACTCTCGTACGCCCGGACTCCCGTACGCCCGGACTCCCGTATGCCCGGACTCCTGTACGCCCGGACTCTCGTATGCCCGGACTCCCGTACGCCCGGACTCCCGTATGCCAGGACTCCCGGCCCGGACTCCCGTATGCCCGGACTCCCGTATGACCGGACTCCCGTATGCCTGGACTCCCGTACGCCCGGACTCCTGTACGCCCGTACGCCCGTATGCCCGGACTCCCGTATGCCCGGACTCCTGTACGCTCGGACTCCCGTATGCCCGGACAACCGTATGCCCGGACTCTCGTACGCCCGGACTCCCGTACGCCAGGACTCCTGTATGCCCGGACACCCGTACGCCTGGACTCCCGTATGCCCGGACTCCCGTACGCCCGGACTCCCGTATGCCAGGACTCCCGTACGCCCGGACTCCTGTATGCCCGGATTCCCGTATGACCGGACTCTTGTATGCCTGGACTCCCGTACGCCCGGACTCCCGTACGCCCGGACTCCCGTATGCCTGGACACCTGTACGCCCGGACTCCCGTATGCCTGGACTCCTGTACGCCCGGACTCCCGTACGCAAGGACTCCCGTATGCCCGGACACCCGTACGCCCGGACTCCCGTATGCCCGGACTCTCGTACGCCCGGAATCCCGTGCGCCCGGACTCCCCTACGTCCAGACTCCCGTACGCCCGGACTCCCGTACGCCCGGACTCCCGTATGCCCGGACTCCCGTACGCCCGGACTCCCGTATGCCCGGACTCCTGTACGCCCGGACTCTCGTATGCCCCGACTCCCGTATGCCCGGACTCCCGTACGCCCGGACTCCCGTATGCCCGGACTCCTGTACGCCCGGACTCTCGTATGCCCGGACTCCCGTACGCCCGGACTCCCGTATGCCAGGACTCCCGGCCCGGACTCCCGTATGCCCGGACTCCCGTATGACCGGACTCCCGTATGCCTGGACTCCCGTACGCCCGGACTCCCGTACGCCCGGACTCCTGTACGCCCGTACGCCCGTATGCCCGGACTCCCGTATGCCCGGACTCCTGTACGCTCGGACTCCCGTATGCCCGGACTCCCGTACGCCCGGACTCCCGTACGCCAGGACTCCTGTATGCCCGGACACCCGTACGCCCGGACTCCCGTACGCCCGGACTCCCGTACGCCCGGACTCTCGTACGCCCGGACTCCCGTACGCCCGGACTCCCGTACGCCCGGACTCCCGTACGCCCGGACTCCCGTACGCCCGGACTCCCGTATGCCCGGACTCCCGTACGCCCGGACTCCCGTATGCCCGGACTCCCGTACGCCCGTACCGTCATACACTCTGCACATCACTAGAGCACCAAGTCTGAGATAGCTGAGCTCGGATTCAATCCTTTCTGACCGAGCATTGCATTCAGGCTGAAGATACTCATTGGTGCCGACAAGTCGCAGTCACGAAGCGTCGAGTGAAGATTGTGCACGTTGTAGTTCTCACCGTGTACGCTGGTATGCTCTGCGCTCGTGCTCCCCTACGCGCCAAGCATAGTCCAAGCGACAATTGGCGGGCCGGGTATCATCCGCGCGAGCCCCACCTGGTGAGGTGGACGCAGTGTCGCGGACCTGAGGCTTGGTTTTATGGGCCCAATCCGCCGAGACAGGGACACATTCATCGTCTGGAGACTTGGTTGCACAAGCTCAATCCATCTGATATGATAGTGTTGGAAACCATGCTGCCCAAGCATGCACAGATAGGTCCATACCATCATTATCAAGACTACCAAGTACGGGCGCGGGGCACCTTGTTAAATCCTAAGAGCGAAGCATAGCAAGATTGTGATCAAGCACGAAGTGTAGAACTCGGGACAACTCCTCAAGTTCTCAAATTCTTTCATTACTTAAAAAAATTGTTTTCAATCTAGAACTTTATGAGGTCTGACCTCACTTGGAAATGAACGGGCGGTGGCCAAAAAAAAAAATAAAAAAAAATTGACGCCCCGCTCTCGGTGTTTAGTCGACCACGGCTCGATCCTCGGAAAGGGAAATGATCAAACTCTTTTCCAAGTCTAGGAATAGCTGCTCGGTCAGGGCGACCGTAAGACCGGCCCCCGGGTCGAAAAGGTATGCGAGAGGTCGTGCTCCGAGCCCCTCTCGTACATCCGTTGTCCGATGTTGCTGTCTAAACAGCTCGCATACTCGTTTGACCTAATCAACTGTGCGGCGACTATATGACCGGTCTTCAGGCCGAAGGTTTGCGAGAGGTCGTGCTCCGAGCCCCTCTCGTACATCCGCTGTCTGACGTTGCTAGGTTTAACAGCCCGCATACTCGTTTGATATGGTCAGTGGTGCGGGTCCGTTCTGGTCTGATCATGTAGGGCCTTGCCCTTACGTTTGGCCGACTTCAGTTCGACTTTCGGAAAGGGAATAACCAAATATTTCCTAAGTATGAAACTAGCTGTACAAGTCAAGGTGGTGTAAGACCGACCTCCGGGTCGAAGGTATGTGAGAGGTCGCGCCCCGAGCCCCTCTCGTACATCCGTTGTCTAATCGCTGGCCAAACAGTTTGCACAACTCGTTGGTCCTAGACCGACAGTGTGCGGGTCAGCCCCGCCTTACCCAGCAGGGCGCGGTCAAGGTCGACCTTATCGACTTTCCGCCCCTCACGGCATAGGTGGGGAGCTTGATCCCCGATTAGTTCTCCAAGTATTATGGAATGAAAAACGGCTAAGTAAATTGAAAGAACAAATGATGCACACATACAAGCTCAAGCGAAGAATCAATCACTAAGACCAACTCCAAGATCATCATTGCCCGATTTTCTTCGCCTCATCACAGGTAGTCTGCATATTAGGCCAACCAATTGCAACCCTCCTTGTTCCGCAGCTAAGCTCGGATATACTCCGGACACCGGTCTTCAATCCTGGAAGTGATAAGCTCTGAAAACTGTAAAGGGATTTGAACAAAGCAACCGCCTCATCTCCCACATCCTCGTGCCTCTCGTATGCCAAGCGAGACGTCGCTGCATCATGGCAGACCCCTCGGTCTCAACGTGATCATTTATCTGAAGACCGGCCTCATCCCCTCACTTCATGGATGAGGACCGTTGTGTGGATTTCCGGACTGACCCCTCAGTGCCGATGTCCTTGCCTCACGGCAGACCCCTCGGTCTCAACGTGATCATTTATCTGAAGACCGGTCTCATCCTCTCACTTCATGGATGAGGACCGTTGCGTGGATTTCTGGACCGGCCCCTCAGTGCCGACGTCCTTGCGTCACGGCAGACCCCTCGGTCTCAACGTGATCTTTTATATATCAACACGGCAGGCCCCTTGGTCTCAACGTGGTCGTCATACTCTCAAGACCGGTCTCAGTCATCCCTTCCCGGATGGCGACCGTTACTTGGATCTTTAGATCGGCCCTCCAGTGCCGATGCCCATACATCACGATCGGCCCCCTCAGCCTCGATGTGATGCTATATATCAAAGACCGGCTCCTCAGCGCCGAAGTCTTGATCTAGCGACCAGGCTTGCCATCCCTTCCTGGATGGTGACCGTCGCCTCTACATGACGACCGGCTCATTTCTTCCTCGTCATCATTATTCGGATCGGATACCCCAGATCGCCATCCTCAGCGTACAAGTGTACAATTGCGACCCGCCTTCTCCAAGCATATCTCAGCTCGACACCATCAACAAACAAAGTTGCTAGGTGGTCTCTCCCGAGCATACCCTGGCTCGACCGACACCACTGACAAACAACCGTGTGACTGGTCTTTTCGGAACATATCTCGGCTTACCAGTAAAGCAGGCACTCAACCAAGAACCGAGGGGATTGACCTTCCTTTGCTTTATTTTAAGGTTCTGGTGCACTCTTTTTCCTTCACTATGATTTTTTCCCATTGGGTTTTTCCTAGTAAGGTTTCAATGAGGTACTCCATCATCATGAACAAAGGAAGAGGTCCCCGGTCGGAGCAAAGAAGAGTCTATCCTTTCACAAGCAATGGGATCAAATTCAAGGCTCGATAATGACCGGCTGGCCGGACAAAAAACCGGACCAATCCCAAAACAGCTTAACTACTCCCTTTTAGCCGAGTCTACTACTCGACTAAGGGAGTGGGGGACTCGTGTTGGGCCGGGTCCAAGACTATTGGCCCGTTACGCCCAAGCTTTGGCCCGACCAAGCTCAGAACACAGCCCGGCTAGCGGATATTGGTCCGGGATTATTTAATTACTTATCGGGTTGGCCGGCCCATTAGCGTGAGTGTTAGTGGATAAATCGGGCCAAGCCCATGTAACACTTAATTGGTGGGCTATTGTGTATATACCTATAAATAGGCCACCAACCCCTTGTATTCTACTAAACTATTCTCACTATATTGAAATGCTGCCAAATTCTCTACCCGGGTTATTTTCTACCAACATAAAGTATATATTAAGTAGATGTAGAATGTATGTATTAAGTGGATATAATAATTGTATAAGAATTAAATATTAGAGTATAATGGAGAATTGGAGATTGGAAAATAAGAAAATAAGTATATATAAAATATAAGTAGAGAAGTAGATATTATTATGTATTAAGTATATAGTAATAGTTTATAAAGTATATTTAATACTTTATTATATAAAGAATATATTAAGTAGATGTAGTATGTATGTATGTATGTATTAAGAGATACAAGTAGAGATTAAGTAGATAAGAAATATAAGTAATATAGTATATGTATTTATAAGTAGATAATTAATATATAAGTAGATATAATAATTGTATAAGTATTAAATAGTAAAATAAAATATAAAGGAGAATAAGAGAATTTGAGAAGATGAATATGGAGAATTGGAGATGAGTAGAGAGTAGGATTTAGGTAGAGTTGGAGAAGAGGTGTGAAAAAATGTTTATAATTAGGAGTATTTATAGGTTTTTTTAACCCCCAATCCTCCCACCCCACCCCACCCCCCCAAGGCCCCGGACCCCCCTGGTACCCACCCAACGGCTATATAGCCGTTTGGGAAGTGGCTGTTGAGCCAAAAAGGTTTTTTTGAATTAAAAGATTTTTTTTTTAAAATAGGACCGTTAGGCCCGGGCCCGGGCCCGACCCGGCCAGGCCGGGCCACCAAAACCAACACCCGAGCCCGGACCCGCCACCCCCACCAGTTTGGTGCCCGAACTGGACCCGAGAACCGGGCCGGTTCCGGGCCCGTACAGTAACGGGCCGGGCGGCCCGAACCGGGTCCACCACTAGCCCCATATTGATAAAAATTGCAATATCTATTTGTATTTTACATTTTAAGTCATATCAAATAGACGTGCTCATGTGCTACCGGGGCATGCCCCAGGCTTTACACTAGTATGTACATATTTTCAAATAAAATATTGTAATTTTTAATATTTAAGCTTTTTAAATCTTTTAATTCCCTTACAACTTAGTACGAATAAAAAGCTTTTAACTCCCTTACATTTGATCAATCTAAATACTTTTTATTTTATTATTAATAATTTAACAATTACTTTTATTCTAAGAGATTTCTAGAGGCACTGAACAATTTTTGGATTTCATTCTACAAAAATTCAATTGCTTTATGTAATTTATGTAGAGTGAATTCTCAAAATGGAGTATACTATACTCATAGTGTAAAAACAGGAGTCAATGCTTAAAATTTTCTAAATAGGAATAATAATTTGTGATGGGACAAAAACACCCTGGAAAGGGTTCAAGTATATCACAATATACTTGGCCTGGAAGTTGGATAAATTTGCAATTCACATAGATTGTGCTGATAGTAAAAAAGGGGCCGGGATTAGAAAGCCGGAATAGCTTACTCAATACATAGCCAGCTAGCTTGTTAATGGAAATATGGACATTAGAAGACACCTCTATTCCAGGAAGTAATGGGAAATAGAAGTCAATCCAAACGAGGTCTGTCATCTCACCATAAGCAATTTAATTGATTTGCAGCTAGAAGTTGCAATAATATAATATCATCAGTCAGTATGCACAACAATTAGGAGCGTGTTTGGTTGCAGCAATGTGAATGACCTCCTTTCCCATTTGAAGAGTGAGAGGGTCGTGGATCACCATATTGTTAGCGTCAAAGCTTTTCGGCCTCTTGTTAACGTCATGGATCTTGGTGATCATCTCCAGAAACGCCTCTTCCACATTCACATTCCCCATTGCAGAGGTTTCCAGGAAGGAGAGGCCCTCTGACTGGGCGAAGATCTGCGCCTCCTCCGCCTGCACTTCTCTTGAAGATGATGGGGCATCGCTTCCCAGGTCAGATTTGTTGCCAACGAGAACGACGACCATCTCCGGGCTTCCGAACTGTCTCACTTCGAGCAGCCATTTCTTTGTGTTCTCAAACGTCACCCTCCGCGTGATGTCATACACCAGCAGCGCGCCCAGTGCTCCCCGGTAGTATTCCATCATGCATATATGTTAATTACTGATGTTTTATGAAGAAGAAAAAATTGAAGTTAGAGAAGGGGGTAGGGTAGGGACGGACCTCTCTTGACCAGCAGTGTCCCAAATTTGAGCCTTGATAACCTTATTGTCGCAGACCCTCACATTCTTGTAAGCGAACTCCACACCAATGGTTGGTTTGGAATCCAAGTGGAAGGTATCTGTAGCGAACCTGGAGAGGAGATTAGATTTCCCCACCCCCGAGTCTCCAATCACCACTGTTTTGAATAGATAGTCACACTCCTCATCCATCCTCACCTGCATGCGCTACTGCCACCTCTTTCATTCACTTCCCAACAATATAATACTCTCCACCTGTCCCTCGGTGGTTCCACTTCCTCAAAAATTAAACATGAAATGAGTAAAGTTTAATTTGATGCCTAATATTGATTGTATTTTCAAATTTTTAAAAAGAACATCCGATTCTTTTACATGTCCCACACCGGAAAAGTTTGGATGAACAAAGTGCTATATTAACACATGAGCTACTCCCTCTATGAGGTTGACCTATTCGGATAGAACCCCGAGTCTTAACAAAAATGATGACACGATTATAATACATAACAAACGGATGAAAGAAAATGAACCGATGAAAAAAAAATGAATGGATGACACGATCCACCATTCAGGACAGAACCCCGAGTCTTAACTAATTCACTCATCACTTACTTGAAGTTTATATGACATACTCGGTATATATTAATCTAGAACTCTATTAGTCTCATTAAACCACTCCCCCTGTTTCATAAAACTTGGCAAAAGCGAGAGAAATAACTTTAGCCATATATTTTTTACTTTTAAGTTTAAAGGTTTTGGAACGACCAAAAATAAAAATCGACCAAATTTTATGAGACGGAGGTAGTTTCATTTATCTAAATTATTACATATGACCATTCAATTGAGATACGTATTATTTAAAGACAATTAACCCTTTTAATCTAATTTTATAATGATCTATTTTCGGTGTCGACGGGATTTGTTTTTCGTAGAATGACTCACCTCGTGAACCGTAAGTTAAAGTTCCCAATACTCCTTCGTAACTCGCCAGCTGCATCCCATACGTTATGAGTAAATTTTATTTTGTGTTCTTTGAATTCCCAATTGGAATTTCCAGGTTTGAACCGTAATCATCCGGTTCCGAGCCGGAACCGAGGTTTTGATTCCCAAAAATCACAAAGGTTATAAGTTGCCTAGCCCTCCTAAACCAAAGGTTATAAGAGCATCTCCAATGCGGTTTTGTGTTTCTATTAAATTTGAAACCGACATTCTGTGAATATTATAAATATATATGCATATCCTATGTCGCACACTTTAAAATCTTCATTGATTTGAAGAAGAAGAATAGTGATAAGTGTGTAGAATGATGTGAGCAACGATATCCTAACTTGAGTCCCATTTCGCAATCCGGCCACACAGGGGCTTAGATATGAGGGCAACCCCGACCCCGATTCACCCCAAAATTTAAAAATTTCTATATTTTGAGGTAAGATATACTGTGTAACTATTCTCAAAAGTATTCTTTGTACCGGTCCAGTGTTCTGGCTCCGCCCCACGGCCACATATATACTCGAAACACCAAGTCTAGATTTGATTGGTTGGAGAGAATAGTTAGTAGTCAAATATAAAAAGTTTCTGTCTAATAAATTTAATCCAACTCTAAGAATAATCAAAATGATCATATTTTGTGGGACGCACGGAGGAGTATATATAAAACAAGGAAACATGAATAGAAAAGGGGTATGTTTTTAGGGTGTTGCTTTGAAAGAAATGTATGATTAGGGATGTTTTTACTTGGACTGTAATTTGCTGGTCTGGTCTGGTCTGGTCTGATCTGGTCTGGTCTGGTCTGAACTGGTCTGGTCTGGTCTGGTAAGGTCTGGTTTCTTTGTATTTTTATAACTATCGAAGTCTGGTCTGGTCTGGTCTGGTCTGAACTGGTCTGGTCTGGTCTGGACTGGTCTGGTCTGGTCTGGTCTGGGGCAAATTACAGTCCAAGTAAAAACATCCTAGGTTGAAAATGAGACGAAAGAAAAGTGAATTTGTTTGTTTTTAAAGACAAATACTTTATCCGTCTCATTAATATTGACTATCTTTTCATTTAAGTATGTCTCATACTCCTATCAAATTTGTTAATTTCTGTGTAATTCAAAATCATCATTTTCAATTTATCAATTAAATAACACAGACAAATACATTTTAATTTTTTCTTGTATCAATCTTAGGGGAAAGTAATATGTTCTTCTCGTGGAAAATATTTTTTTGTACCAATATATCTTTGAGACTCAATAAAATTTATTTATTTATTTATTTATTTATTTATTTATTTATTTATTTATTTATTTATTTATTTATTTATTTATTTATTTATTTATTTATTTATTTATTTATTTATTTATTTATTTATTTATTTATTTATTTATTTATTTATTTATTTATTTATTTATTTATTTATTTATTTATTTATTTATTTATTTATTTATTTATTTATTTATTTATTTATTTATTTATTTATTTATTTATTTATTTATTTATTTATTTATTTATTTATTTATTTATTTATTTATTTATTTATTTATTTATTTATTTATTTATTTATTTATTTATTTATTTATTTATTTATTTATTTATTTATTTATTTATTTATTTATTTATTTATTTATTTATTTATTTATTTATTTATTTATTTATTTATTTATTTATTTATTTATTTATTTATTTATTTATTTATTTATTTATTTATTTATTTATTTATTTATTTATTTATTTATTTATTTATTTATTTATTTATTTATTTATTTATTTATTTATTTATTTATTTATTTATTTATTTATTTATTTATTTATTTATTTATTTATTTATTTATTTATTTATTTATTTATTTATTATTATTGCACATCCCGTGATTCTGGTGTCAAACTATTTTTAGAAAAGGGCATCGTGTGAGACAATCATTGGTGTCCACCATGTGACACCATTCACATGAGCATCATCGGAATTCTTCGAGTTTTAACACAAATTTTCATGATTTAGGTTGTTGAGTGATTAAGAATCCAAATACAAACTAACATGGACAATTTTAAGGTACTGCCCCGTTTTGAGATTGAACTTTTATGATACAACTCTAATACTTGATTAATATTTGCAGACACAAAATTGTTAACTACCCCACTTAGGTAACGATTTTTTTAATTGGATTGAGATTTTATTAATCACAAAAGTAGCAATACTTAGAGCATCTCCGATGCTATAATGTCCACGGTGCACATGTGGCATGAGTGATAGCCACATAAATATTAGCAAATAAATTATGTCTCTCCTTATTTGAATGATTTTATACAATTTTGGTAAGTTTTTCCCTGCAATGTCAACAACAATGTCAACATCTAGACGGTCTCCTTGACAATGTGGAGAAAAACTTACCAAAAATGTATAAAATCATTCAAATAAAAAGAGAAAGAATTTATTTACTAATATTTATGTGGCTATTTTTCATGCCACGTGTGCACCGTGCATATTTTACCATTGGAGATGCTTGCCAAAAAACCCACGCTGTACTGGGAGAAGAGCAGTCAGAAGAATCGTAGACAGAAGGTGATGGACAAGAGTGAGTAGCCAAGATTATTAACTGTTTCCATGTGAGCATCCCAATAATTGCTACGATGTATGTGCTTTTTTTGTTGAAAAGATTGTTTTTTTGTGACACGGGTTGATCATGGTTTGCCTAACTAATCTAAATTAAAGAATTTTCTTCGCCAACCCACCCACTTAAATTGATTCTTAAGAATTGTTCAATTATTCTCATCTTTTCAAAATGCATACGGGTACAATCATATAGGGAGAGCCTCCCTAATTAAGGGCGCACTATTCTAAAGCGAAATCGCTGCTGTTTCACACTTTCAAATAAGAGTAACGTTCCTTTAAAGTTTAAGCCATTCGCTAACTAAACACGAAGAAAGTGTTTACTTCGTTGCCAAACAGACACCTAAAATGTCGCTTACTAAACATACAACTCCCTCATGTATTAATTAAATGTAGTTTAAACTAACTCAATTTTTTGTATTTATCCTTACCCCTTGTCCCTAACCCCACCCCTTACTCGTTCCCATACCGTTGTTACCTCCTACCCCTACCCTAACTGATCCCCTACCCCTACACTATCCCGTACGACCCCTACCTCGTACCGTACCCTTACCCACCACCTACCCATGTACAACCCTACCCCCACTCCGTACCCTCTTACCCCTACCCCTACCTTGCAACCGTACCCTTGCCCCGACAGCCTGATGCAGGCTGTTGTTGGTGATAATGGTGGAAACCGACGTCACGAGAAAGATGACCGGCGGCTGCTCCTGTTTGTCGGGTGCCGTGGAGATAGAGGCGGTTGAGGTTGTGCCGATCATTGAGAGAGAGAGAGAGAGAGAGAGTGAGAGAGCAAAAACCCTAAGCGGCTGATACCATATATGAGGTACAAAATAATGAATTTTGGGAAATAATGGGTTACGCTGTTGGGTGCCTTAGCCTTATATTTATAATAAACAAAATTATGAAAGTTACACATGACTCCCAAGATAATACATTATTTGCCCCTATCCCCTCCGTCGACCCCCTACCCGTGGCCCATATCCCTACCACCTACCCGTTCCCATATCGTTATTACCTCCAACCCCTACCCATTCCCATACTGCTGTTACCTCCTACCCCTACCCTTACCCGTCCTCATACCCCCTAACCCCCTACCCACCTACCCAAACCCCTACACTTCTAAACATGCCCCAACCCTTACCTGTACCCCGTACCCTACTCCTACCCCATTCCTGGGGGATAGGGGTAGGGGGTTGTGCCATGGGCATGGTAGGTGATACAGGTAGGGGAATGGCAAGGGTAGGGGCGGGGTATGAGCAGAAGAGGGCAAGGGCAGGGGCTAAGGCAAGGGTATGGGTACGCATATTGGTGGCAAGAAAGGGATAGGATGTGTCTATATATGTATAGGATTATTTTACACATTTTAATGTTGAACGATGTTTTAAACACTCTGAAGTAAACATGAACTTATAGCACTACTTATTTTACCTGCTGCTTATTAACACAAGTCTTAATAAGTGCCGCTTAGTAACCGTTGAAGTAAACGTGTCATGAGCGTCAGAGAGTCAATATTTGATAAAAGTTCTTTAGTTTGTCCTTTATGGATGACGATTAGTAGTACATGTGAAGAACCAATGGGAAAACTTATCAAAGAGGAAACTACAATAAAAATTTATTGTAGGAAAAACTTATTAAAGAGGAATTCTAAAGGTTTTATGTCCGCCCATAGTCATCGTGTACATGGTCTTTGGATAAGCTTCTTCC